CTGCCACGAGTGTTCAGCCCCACACGCGTGACTGGATGTGCCCCGGGGGGATCTATCCCTTCCTCCCCCCAGGGACCCCTCTGCACCCCTGGGCCCCCCATCCCAAACCCCTCGCCCAGTGCAGGGGATGGGTACAAAGCCCAGCTGTGGGGACCCTGCCTCCCCTGCAGGTTTCTGCTGCCTGGCAGAGACCCGGCTCTCCAAAAAGGGTTTCTCTCTCCCTGCCCTTCTCTCTGTTCAGATTTTTTCCCTTTTCCTCAGCATTTTTCCTTCTCTGAGGGTGAGGGGGTGTCAGGCTTCTGGGTGCTGAACACACTCTGCTCTGCTGACAATGTTTTACCAGTGGGAACTGCTGTGTGGCTCCAGTCCCAGGAGCCTGGGCACAACCCAAGGGGTGCAGGAGCTCTGTCTGGGTGGGATCTTTCCCCTCTGGACTGGGGGTCTCCCACCAGCTTCCAGGGAAGGAAGCAGTCCCAGACCTCTCCCGGGGGCCGCAGGATCCTCTTCAGATGTGTGTCCCCAGCCGATGTCTCTGTTCCCGGCCTCCTCAAGGTCTGTCCTGCAGAGCTTTAGATAGCCAAGCTGTTCTGCTGCCGTGCTCGGGTCTGGCCGCCTGATGGAGACCTTCATCCCAGCAGCTCCTCTCCATCAGCCGGCTCCCTCTCCAGACGTGCCTCCTGCTCTCCCCATGCCTGCTCCAGCTACAGACACGTAGTTTCTGCATCCCAGCATGGGACTGCTCCAAGATGAGGTCTGATGCCAAACCCCTCACTGGACGGGCAGCCGCCCCATGGGGCTCAGGGAGGACCAGCGTGTCCCCAGGGGGCTGCAGCAAGTCCCCCCTCCCCTGCAGATCCCCCCTCCTCCCAGGGGATGGGGTTTGCAGGGGCCTGGAGGAGCTGGCAGCAGTGCCTGGCATGCAAAACCAGTGGGGCTGAGAATTACATATTGCCAGGATCCCAAAATTGCTTGGACAATTTCACACACGAGGTGGGGTCTGGGGGATGCTCAGTTGATGTCCTCTGGGAAGCTGCCTTTGGGGTTATTTTTAGGGAGGGATTATAAATACCATAATGAGGAGAGCTGATTTACATTTCGGGTTGTGTTTGCAAATGTGCCCTGTCTCTGCAGGCCCCAGTGCTCACTCCTGCAGCCACTTGAAGCTGCTTTTGGCTGGGACAGGGTGTCCCCAAAGCCACCTTCTCCCCAGCACTGGGAGAGTGCCCAGCAAACACATCTCCTGGGTGCAGCATCAGGGCTCTCACCAGCTGCAATAACCCCTTGGCAGCCAGAGCACACAGGCCTTCCCAAGGGGCTTGAACTGTGTGAAAACGTGGGATTTGGGCACATGTCTGCATTTTTTGTCCACAGCAGACCAGTAGTGAGCAGTGGTGGGATGGGGAGCCAGCCTCTTCCCAGCCCAACACTCAGATACAGCCATGAAGGGCAACTGCTGCCCTGGGGCTCTGCACTCTCCAAGCACCCAGGGATGCTCCTGCCTCTTCATTTTCAACACTAAGACTTTTCTTCATCTGTTTCTTTTTGTAAAAACTCAGAATGCAACTTTTTTAATTAAAAAAAAAAAAAAAAGAGGCACACAGATCCAAAGCTATGGTTATGACTGTGCAAACCCAGCATCACTCCAGCAGCTCAGAAACTGGAAGTCAAGCAAGACCAGATGAACCTTTTCATGGGGTTGTTAGAAAAAGCGAAGGGAGAAAAATCAAACCTGTTTTCATGGAAATTTCCATTTTTGAAGGGAAAAAAAAAAATAAAAGAAGGGCTAAACTTGGATGCATTTATATAAATATGGAAATGCAAGCTGTTTCCCAAACCTTGTCACCATCCCACGGCCAGCCCTGCTCTCTGCTCCCCCCAGTACACCCCTTTGTCATGCTTTGTGCCTGAGCCCCCCACAGCCATCACCCCCTGCCCTCCTCCAGCTCTGCCTGCAGCAGCCTCCTCTTCTTCAGCAAAGCTTTGCTTTATATTCAGCAACAGGCTGGCTTTGCCAAATGGCATCTGGCAGCACAGCCCTGCTGCTGATGGGTGGTGGGCATCCCGGGGGGCACAGCTGGCCTGGTGAGGTATATCAAGGATGTGCAGCATCCTCCAGGGCTCCCCTGGGAGCCACTTGCTACAGGACTGGGGATGGAGATGGGGCATCAAGGGGCTGATGGCAGAGCGGAGTCCTGCCCTGATGTTACTGTAAGAGACCTTATAGTGGCCCTTACAGTACCTGAAGGGGCTACAGGAAAGCTGGGGAAGAGCTTTTTACAAGGGCCTGTAGTGATAGGATGAGGGATCATGGTTTTTAAGCTGGAAGAGGGGAGATTTAGGTTAGACATTAGGAAGAAATTCTTTAGTGTGAGGGCGGTGAGACACTGCAACAGGTTGCCCAGAGAAGCTGTGGATGCCGCATCCCTGTAAGTGTCCAAGGCCAGGTTGGATGGGGCTCTGAGAAGCCTGGTCTAGTGGGAGGTGTCCCTACCCATGCAGGGGGGTTGGAACTAGATGACCTTTAAGGTCCCTTCCAGCCCAAACCATTCTGTGATTCTGTGATATACCTGTAGGGATGCGAGGGCTGTGGAACAGGATGGGATGGGGTGGATGGGGTGTGATGGGGTGGGGTGGGGTGGTGATGGGAGTGCACAGAGCAGCTGGAACCAGCACACAGGCTGCCACACTCTGGCTTTGCAAACCCCTTCCCATCACTACAGCAAGAGGCCTCCTCTCTTCTGCCTTCCTGTCAGCTCTTTTATTTTTTTTTCTTTGTTTCTATAGAAAATCCCAATTCCCCCAAATAATCCAGCTAAGAGTAAGAAGAAAAAAAAAAAAAAAAAAAAAACACAAATGTGTCATTGCATTCTCTTCCCATCCCCATCCCTCTCTCTCACACACACACAGGGCTCGAAAGCTCCGTGCAAGGTACTCAGCCCGCACGCTGCCAATTGTCACATCTTTCAATGACAGATTTTAAATGAATGTTATTTTGCAAGGGAGGGGGGGAAAGAAAGGGAAAAAAAAAAAACGGGGGGAAAAAAAAGAAAAGAAAAGAAAAGAAAAAAAAAGCCCACACTGCTCATCCAAGAGCTGACAAGTCCTAACGGGCCTCATTTTCCAGAGACAAAAATAACTATTTTCAAAATTCACAGCAGGGCCTTCGCCTACACACGCTGCACCAAGAGAAACCTGTGGGGAGAAATGTAAAACACATTGTGTAGATGGAAATGCACCGTGCATCCAGAATG